AAAGCTCTTGATTGCCTCTTCAATCATGTCAGATGTAATAACTATTTCCGTATTAGCCTCCCCTTCCTCCAATATCGGTTCATCTATGTTATTCGATGTACCGGGTGGGAAATGAGATTTTGTTAGGAGTTTCATTGTCTCCTCCATATCCTCCAGCCTCCTGCCCTTGTCATCGATTATAGATTCCGGCCGAACATGAGTTTTGAATAGGAACTTTTTTATCTTCGACAAGTCATTTACGCTATCTACCTGTTCACAGAAAAGTTTCCAGGAGTCTCGTTTGGCTTTTCGAACGATTTTCTTATATTTACCAAGTTTATTACGATACTCATCCCAGTATACTGCGGTCTTTTTACGGCATACATACATATGTATATATGTACTTCAAAAATAAAAAATTTCTTAACTTTGAAATTCAAAATTCATTTTTAGTTCTATAAAGAATATTATTTGGAATTTATTTAAGAAAACTAGAAACATTTGAGAAATAGCATCTAAAAATGAACTAAGTTTTCAGTTTCAGAGAAAACATCAGCTTCTTTCATTTATTTCTAAGATATTTCATAATCTCAATTGATAACTAAATCGTTTAACTCTATAAACAAGTTCTTGGGCTCTATATGGACTCCAAAAACGAAGGGACTGAAATTTCCCAAATATATATTCAACAATATTGCCGTGTAGCACAAAATGATCAAAATAAGGTGAACCGGTAAACATTTCTAGATCGAATTATGTATTTAAAAATATTTTATCTCCTATACATTTTTTAAACTTAGTCCATTTATTTTAATATAATTGAAATGTTCGTTTTAAAAACTTACACATTGTCTGCTCATTTCTCATACATACTTAAATTCAATTGGTTCATTAAGTTAAATTTTTTCCTCTTGATTCCTTAACAACGAGAGTTTAACTCAATTAAAGGAATATTTGATTGAAGTAAATTGTTACAGATTCACATTAAAAACATACAAAACAAGAACGCAGTTTTTATAAATACAAATAAACCCCTCTTTTAATATTTGTAAGTATGTACATTAGGGTCATAACTTTTATAAAATTTCCGATTGTTAAAAAAGTTTCGGCGGCTAATGCTTTAAAATTTTCGATATTTTCTCGGACATTTTTTACACGAAGATAGACTTATCTCTCATCCAAACTTAGTACCCAAACATATAGATTATACTATTAAAAATGCGTGTAAATATATTTGTAAATGGTTCTAGAAAATCAAAATCCGCGGAAGGATTTTGCACTAAAATGACCCGAGAAAAAGTTTTCGTTATAAGAACACTACTGGCTACAACGTAGTGATAGGTAATAAAAAAATTTTGACCCTAATGTATATACATATATATGTAAATTATTTTTTTTGTGATTTGGGTGTAAATTTGCAAAATAATAAAAAGTAATACATATCGTTCATTTACTACAAGACCGGCATAAATCAAAAAAATGTTTATGACATTTTGCTAATAATTTTCAAAATGTTCATAAATAAAACCTGATATATAAAGTAAGTCTTAATATGTTATTATTATTACTTTTTTTATTAAATCTGAGCATTAATATCATTTTCTGAAGTGGACCGATCCTCATTTGGTTTGGTAGGGTGATTTCTGTTTCTATAACACTTCTTTATGTCGAATTTCGCCTCCATGCTGGTATTATTAAGAGAGTTGTAAACGTTAAAGTGATTTTCTGAAGGGGACCTTATATTGTGCGGTCTCTGTCATGATTTTAACAGACAGACGTACGGACAAGCCTAGATGATCTTAGAATTTAATAATGATCTAGAATTTGAGGATCTACGACCAATATTTCGATGTGTTACAAACGGAATGACAGAATCAATATACCCCCTACATTTTTTGATGGTGGGTATAATTACTCGCAAACCGAAAATTTTAAATATATATTTCTGAAAATAGACAGTACTCTGTTTAAAAAACCCAATTTTGGATTATGCCAGTCTTGAAGTAAATGAGCGATATGTTCAAAAGTTATACGCGTGTTTTGTCGGTATGTGCATAAGATGTATATTTTATCTATGAAATGTGCATTCGAAGGGAGGGGTGGCACTTATATAAGTATTTGTTTATTGCGGTATACATATAGTAATAAAACCTCGCATTCTACACAATACAAAACAAAACAACGTTCTCTTTTTTCTTCTCTTTTTTGCCCCGTTATGGGTCATTGACAGTCTACTGTATATGTATATTGTAGTATTTAGCATAAGAGTTTATTTGAATTTTTATAAATCGGTTTTATTAGAGTATTTGTGTGGCGGTAATCGGTTTGTGCAAACTAGTAATCCCAAATTAGTTTTATTTGTGTTTTCTTAACATATTTTATCTAAAATTTGTTGTTAGTACATATATTTATAATCTAGTAGTGGAATATGCAAATGTATATTCAGAATATTTCAGATCTATACAAAAGTAAAATACAATGATTTAAATTAGTTTACTTACATATATGACTTGATTGCAATGTTATTAAATTTCGGTTCTTGAATTTTTTTTTGGAACTCTAAAAATCTTAACAACTGTTCCTCTTATTTTTACACTATTTTGTAAAAAATAATTTTTTCATTTTTTCAATGATGTCGTAGTTATAAGATTTTATACATCGTACAGCATAATAATTTATAATTATGGTAAATAAATATTTTATAAATTGATTGGGTACTAAAAATAATTTCATGCGAACAACAAAAATTACTTATATACATACAATATTATATACCCACCATCAAATCGTATGCCGTAAAAGGAAGATCACGGTGATATTTGCAATAAGGCTTAAGTCAATTATGGACGTGCTCTTTCAATAAATTACCAAGTTTTAAACCATGAACATATGTATGTATGTGCGGTAGGGTCAATTATGTACCGATTGTCGTAAAATTTGGTAGATAGATTTCGCTTTGTATAACACTTAATTGTTTCGAATTGTAATTCCGTCATGTGCGTAAAAGTAAATTCTTGAAGGGGACCTTATATGAGAGTAGGGTCAATTATGAGCCAATACTCATAATATTGTTTTACCTTATATGGAGGGTACAAAATTTTGTAGAGCGATTTGCTTGACACAGAACTTGCTTATGTCGCTTTTTATTGTAATGGTCGTATTTTTAAGCCAGTAATGAGCATTGAAGAGGACCTTATATGGGGGTATGGTCAATTATGAACCGATCATCATAAAATTCGGTAGAGATATTTTGGCTTGTACGAAACTTATTTATTTCATATTTTATTTTAAGTCAGTAATGGGCGTTAAAGTATTTTTCAAAAGGGGACCTTATATGGGAGTAAGGTCAATTATGGACCGATTGTCATAGAATTTGGTGTAGAGATTTTGGTTCGTTTCAACGCAATACTCATATTTTTAAAATAGTTATGACTGTTAAAGCTGTTTTTCGAAATGAGCAATATGTATCAACCATCTCTAATAAATCCATTGTCACTAAATAAATAAAACATTGTAAACAGTTTGATAAGCAATAGCTGGCTATTTAAATCTTTGTGAATGAAACATTAAACATTTTATAATATAGGTTCTATTTATATTTATTTAACCACACTTGTTAGATCTAATCAGTTGTAAATTAAAAGTTAAATGTTATATGGTAGAAAAGCTAGCTTCTTGTACTTTTTATTAAACAAATATAATAAGGGTTCAAACTATTTTGAGATGACATTTAATTTCTATAACGTATTTGCTTTAGGTCATTATTTTTTTCTGAATAGGATAATAGTAATGTAAATATATTCTATTTTAACATAAACTTATTTTACATGCGATGTTTTTATACGTAACATGTACAAACAACCCCCGTTTTGAGTAATAACAAAATAGGGGTAAATTTTTAACATAAGTTAGTGTGTTATAACATTGGTAGTAGCAGAAACCAGTATTTTCCATAACATCTGACAATGTACAATAACATTTATACATATTTGAAATTTTTACAGATGACTGACTGGTGATATCCTTACATTGGCATGATTTCAGTTAAAATTGAAAAATTTTTTATCCCCTAAAATTTTAAGTAAAAACTCTTTTTCTCCAAAATAGACAGTTTTTTGCAAGTCTAATAAATTTTAATAGAATAAAAATTTTAAACATGTAAGAATTTAAAATGATTTTGTCTTCGAATTGATAAATATATACATAAATTATTCATTCATCAAAGTGACATTTAATTAGCAGTGCGGTATAAGTCGTTGAAAATACAAAAAATAATGAAATAATTAATTTTCTAAAATACAAACATAAATATCATTCATGCAAACGCAAGTGTCTAAATTTGCAATCAAAATTTTGAAAGGTAAGAAAATAATTTTTGATTTTTCATAATATACCACATCATGGAAATAAGACCTTAAATACATTCACACAAACGCATGCATATAATCACTAATCTTTTTATGTATTATATGAATATGTACATACATATCTCGTATTATCTTTCCCTTTAAATCTGACTGTTTCCTCTAATTTCTATTTTAATATGTTTTTAATATGTACATTGCTTATTTTCGAAAGCAAAAAAGAAAACAAGAATCAAATGACATAACTGTTGCACATTTAACTGTAAAAGGATAAACAATAAATTCACCACAAAAACAGAGAGTAACAAAAAATTCCCTCTCTATTCTTTAGTCCTTGTCTCTTTACGTATACATTATTAAGCTCTCTCTAAGAATTATCTTTCAAAATAAACAAAACAATTTAAAAACATTAACACTGTTACTGTCAAATTTCTATATGTATGGAAAGAAAACTCACCACTTTACCGTTAAATGTCAGATGTAAACAACAGTTTACGGAAGAAACTCCAAAAAATTTATGAAAAACCACCACCGACCAACCAACCAGCCAATACACTAGCACAACATTTAAACAATTGAGTAAAGTTTTTTATGCGTTTGAACATATAAAAAGAGCACAAACTCGCTAAATGAGTTTAGTCTTCGTGTTACTTTTGAAATAAACGGTCGTTGCTTAAAGGAATATAAACCAAAATATTTTTATTTAAAAAATTCACATAAAAAATCTAAAAATATGTAACATATAGATTAATGTACATAATGAAATATATGAAGAAATTTATAAATTAAACAAAAAATTCACTTTATTTATGAAAAACTTGAAAATGTCGATAAAGAACAAGTGATATAAAATTAAAATTTTCTAGATTCAAAACTTTTTAAGCTGCAATTTATATAAAAAATATTACAGTTTGTTTTTATTTTGTGTATTTATTTAGATTTCTTTTTGAAAGAAGTAACGAGAGTGTGTGTGTTGAAGTTTTTAGAACTGTGAGTAAATTTTTGTACGACTTATTCCCGCGAGTGGAAGGAAAACTCTCGTGTTTTTCGTTGAATCTTTCGGCGTTGCGATTCCTTTTATTATTTTTGTTTTTATGATTATTTTGCTTATTTTTGTGTCAACTCGTTTAAATTGAAAATTTGGTTTTGTACAAAAAGAACGTTTTTTGTATTCTGCATGAGAAAATATAAAAAAAGCATAAATAAAATTCGGTATATTAAACGAATAAGAAAGAGCATACAACATATACTCCAAAAACGCAAAAAGGAGTAGAGAATAAAATAAATAAATTAAGAAAAATTTATGCAAAATTAAGTGAAAATTAAATAAAAAGTAATTAAAACTAAATTTAAACCACAATCGACTTGACATCTTCCACCCCCAAAAATATGCTACGCCAATAGCAGTAAATATAATAGTAAAATGTAAGTTATCATTTAAATAAGAAATAATAAAGATAAGGAAACATATGTACGTTTTGTTCCTCGTTTGCACATTTAAAAACGGTACAAATTTTTCGTCTATGTCTTATTAATAAGCATTAGTTAGCGGCTTTTCGTATTGAGATTTTGTATCTTTGGAAAACTTGTGCTATTAGGTCAATATATTGTTTTTGTAAACGACTATTTGTTGTTTCGTTTTATTCTCATACTATATATATGTGTCTTCGATTAAAATTTTGCAAAAGTATTCTATTCTATTAAACTCTTTTCCGAGATACTCGTAGAAAAGAATCCTTAATACACTAAGCTTAGACTGTAGTTTTGAACGAATTCCAGAGAAATTTTAAGCTTCGTTGTTTTGAATGATATCGTCTTTTTACACTTATTCAGTATACGACAATGTGCTTGCTCTAGAAATATGTACATACATATGTTTATGTAGGTATGTTTCAACACATGTGAGTGGGTATGATTTTTCACATTTTACTTGCTCTTTTCTAAAATTTTAACTCTGTATGTATTCATTAATGTCACTGTCAAATTATACCCGCCGAACAATTGTAACCATTCTACATATTCTAAAAATGTTTCATCTTAAAGGAATTTTTTAATTTGAATTCTTATGAGATTTTAACTAATTTAATTTTTAAATATTGATTTAAAATTCCTTTTTGAAAATATTTCATTTTTTTTATTTATTTGTATTGACCTATATTTGCATCACATGCATTGTAACTACAAATACTCTCTCTTCAAATACAAATAAAACAGAAACAACAAAGACTACTAAAAGGATGTATAAAATATTTATAAAATGCAACAAAATGAAAAATTGTAAATAAAGGAATTTTTCTTTAAATTATTAAAGAATAAATTAAAACATATTTTAAATGTGTCTTTAAGCAAAATATGGAAAAGAAATTTTTGAAATATTATAAATTGTGTTTGTGAGATATTGTTTTTTGTGGGTCTTAGCTGCAGTTTTATTTTTTCTCTATTGAATTTTGTGAATTTTTACAAAAAGAATTTTCAAATTTTTTCTCAATAAGCAAAATCCATTGAAATAAAGTAAATATTTATTTTAAAACCTATTCATATATTATATGAACAACTTTTCATACATTCTCTTTGATAATAAATTTGAAAATTTTTATTTCAAATTGAAAATTATAACCTTTTCAAACAAATGAATTTCAAATTTAATAAAAAAAGGTTGGGTTGAAACTGAAATATTTTTCAAACATATTTCAAGTGTTCTTCATTATAATTATACCCTACACCACTATAGTGGGAAGGATATTATGCGTTTGTGCTGATGTTTGTAACGCATTAAAATATTAATACTATACCCACCTTTCGATCGACTCAGAATCACTTTCTGAGCCGATTAAGGTACAGGTCGCAATTTTCAAGATAATTTGATGAAATTTGGAATACACGTTTGTTTTGACCCAAGGACGAAGCCTATTGAAAATGGTTAAAATCGGTCTATTATTTCACCTAGCCCCCATACAACTGAACCCCCCGAAAAGGGCTTTTGAGTTAATAATTATGTATAATATAAATGTATCTCGATGAAAGTTCGCACAACTAAGTTTTATACTTAAAAAAAAATTAAATTTGTATATTAAAATATTAATGAGGTTGATGGAATATGGACAGGATATGTACTAGGGTGTCGCGTGGACCACTTTTTAGGAGGTTGTGTTTCAATGTATTAAATAAAAAATTTTTTTGAAAAGTCCTCAGTTCCCTACCTGCGATTGAAAGCCTTGATCTCATTACAATATGTTCAAAAAAAATTTCTGCAATATCTTCGAATTGGGTGTCAAATTCCGTAATTTTGAGCTTATCGTGGGAAAAATAATTAGGATTTTTGATAGTGTATTTCTGGTCCGCAGAACCACTTTTATTGTATTATAAAAAAATCCCAAAAATTGACTAAACTAAATGCCAAACTATTTTTTAAATATTTTTCTGTATGAGCTAAAAATTACGACAATTTTGACACGAATTTCGTAAAAAGCAAAACAATATGCCTCTCCTTTAAAAAAAAAATGAGACCAATTTCGAAAAATATCGAAAATATTTTATTTCTCAAAAATTATACTGAGGTCTGGATTTTCAATCGCTGATAGAGATCATTCCAAAAAAAATATATTTTTTATTTTTCTCGTGTTCAGTACATTGATACGCATCGATTGAGCAGTATTCCTACATGAAATTTTTAAAAAGATTGTTCCTCGGGACACTCTAATATGTATGTTTATTGAGGGGTTGTACTGGTTGATTGTTATTTAGGTATTTTATCTTTTACTTCAATATAAATATGTAAGTACAATAGGCCAAAATGTTATAATTTTATTCAATAATTTTATTTTTAAATGGATTTAAAGAAGTGTAAACCTGTTTCGTTCTAGTTTGCGTTGAGACCAATGAGTTTTGTTTAAAGTTTTAACTTCGAAGTGGTTCCGTGGAAGCACATTTTAGTCAACATTCATTCTGTGGAACAATACTTCAACTAGTTATGTATATATTCAATGATTTTGTTCTAATTTGTCACCCTCATAATAATTTTAGGTAAGATTTTACAACACCTTTCTTAGAGCTTTTCTGGCACTCAGTACAATATGTTAAAAAAATGTTGTAATCATTTTGCAATAGGTCGCAAAAATTCCGTAATTTTGAGCTTATAATCATAAACATTTTAAAATGGACAAAACCAAATGCAAAGTTACTTTTAAAATATTTTAAATATGTAGTTCCATTTCAAAAATTTGGAGACATTTTTTTCACAAATTTTGCATACATATGTAGCTCAATTGCAACAACATAATGTTTGATATTTCAATTAATACACATTCTAAAACAAAAAAATGTACCATTAGGATTATGGTCTCTGTGATATTATATATTCATTTAAACCCAATAATTAATCATTATAAAACCGTAATCCTACGTTTTATACTTTTTCTAAAATAAATTAGTAAAGGAAATTCAATATATTTCAAGAGCAACACGAAAAATAATTGAAAAAACTTAAATTTTTTTTGCGAAGGTTTTCAACAATACATATTATGTTTTCGCAAAAAAATACTGTATTAATTTGTATGTATTTCCATTTTTCTTCCTTTCTCTATAACTTATATTTTGCTTATTTTGTTACAAGAGAGATAATAAGTAAAATAAAAAAAATCCATAAATTATGATTATCATGTTGATATTTTGATCAACTTGTTTGTTAACTTACGCGTGCTGTTGTTTTTTTGGTAAAAATAAAACATATTTTAGGATATAAAAACAGCATGGTTTCTAATTGTCCTAAGTGCCAGTTTTATAGCATGGCAACCATAACAACAACTACAAAGTAGCATTCTTTACACAGAAATACAATATAGAAAGAAGAATCCACACATACTTATTGCTTGCAGTGAAAGAAAGAAACCCCATAGTGAAAGTATCAAAGGGCAAGAAAAAAATTATATTTTATTATGAAAATTTCGGTGAAAAAATACGAAAAACCTGACCTATGTACATATAACGAAATCAAAAAAGTAGCAGTAGCTGAAAATAACTCAAACACTATCTGTGCCACTACAAACAACAAGGCATACATATTTATAACAAAAAATATAAATAAATACTAATACGAGAATTTTTCTTAACATGAACAACAACAACCAGAAGAAAAAACTTAAGTTGAAAAGCCGCTTAAAGTCAGCATAAGTCTCTGAAAGCCTGGCAACTTACGTTAATAACAAACTCACTCACTCGCTTTCACTTACAAACAAATACACAGGATGGTGCAATTCACTAAAAATAACAACAAATATTACAAGCCACAATTCGCCATTTTATTCTTGAGCTTCTGCTAGAACTGCTTTGTATCAGTATGTATGTATGTGTGAGTGTCTTAAAATACTTTTATTTGGAATAGTTTTTTCTTCACATTTCTATGATTTTTTTTCTTTTAAATGTATTTTACTATGCAAAAAAGAGAAGGAGTAGAATAATGTCAGACTGTCAGTGGCTTAAACATATTTATGTATGTACATTTTTTATTTATTTATAATAACTTGTTACTGCATAAACTTTGGTATTTTATATGCAAAATAACAATAATGTTAACAAAAAGCCAACAATGTGAACATCGCACACATATACATAATTGTACAAATTTTGACAGTTTTTTATTATATTTTATTTTCGGCTTTTTTGTTTCTTGACTTCCCAAGTATGTAGACTCGCAAGGAACCGAAACTAAACAACAAATTGTAGTTAAACACGCATTATAATTAGAATGAGTTATTCAATATCTCTAATGTGACCACCATATTAAATTTCTATTTTAAATTTTATAATTTCTGGAACAAATTTATTTTAAAGAAGTTTAAGGATCTTAGCGATACATTTCTGTACTATGAGCTTTTTTACAGATTCCTTTTGGAAAATGAAATATTCTCATTTCAAAAAATCGTAAGATGTTTTTATATTTCAGTAAAGTTCTTATTTTAGAGATATGTACGTTTTCTATGAAAAATTTTCTCATTTCCGGAATAATTTTTTTCCTGAAATTTTCTCATTTGAAATGTAATTTATCTGTAGGAAATTCCGAGATACAAAGTTCTACGGATAATTCTCTCATTTCAGGTGAAGATGTCTATATGTGCTTTCATTACACTTTGTATTAGAGATTATTCTTTTAAAAAACTTTAGCTGGTCCCATTTATATTTAAAAAAAAAAAAAAATTATTTCAAAAAATGACAAAATTTAATATCAAATTAGGGGTGTTAAGGTTTTATGAAAATGTGAAAGAAATTTGTTGTTCTTGTATATTATGCAAAAATTATGCTACAACAATAATAACAAAAGCAATATAAGTGACAAAAGTCTAATAGAAGTTTCAAAAATAATGGGTTTTTCAGTTAGACACATTGTTAAGAAAAATAAAAAAAACAGGAAAAAGTTCAACAGTTTTAAT